ACCAACACAAAGTGTCAGTGCAAACCTGTGGGGTACAAAGTAGGGTAACACACGTACAAATAGTGTAAAGTGTTCAGACTGTTCACCTAACATATCCCTTGTTTATTTCATTCCATCTTTTGATTTTAAAATCTTACACAAATATCTCCTCTATATAGCTTAATTATTAGGGAGTATAAGTTTTTTACTCCCTCTGTCCCTCTATATTCGTCCACTTTTGACATTTAGAATTTTTCATCTAAGCACTTTGACTCATCAAATTCTCTCAATGTGTAAGCCTAAATATAGTCATGTATGATCTTGTTTGATTTATCTTAACTTATAGAATTAATATATAATTTCTATAATTTTTTAATTTACAAATTACAAGATAAAATGGATTAAAGAAGCGTATTGGATGGTGTGTAAAAATGAATGTGGACAAATACTCTGGGACGGAGGTAGTAACAAATTAACTTCTTTTTTATTACTCCGTAATATATCTCTCGTACTCGGGTCTAAAAAAGATTGTTACGGTTCGATTTTTTAGTCAAATTATGCACACTTCAACCATAAATTATAGAAATAGAATATTTAGTTATAATATAAATTTAGTAAAATTAGATTAATTTATTACAACATTTAATTATTTAAAAAAATGTAATTTGTAGTCAATGTGTAGTAATAATCATTTAATACAAAGGAAGTAATAGATATTTTAACACACATTTTCCATATAAATTGAATTGAAATATGTCCAAACAGAGAGAATGTAACGGTACAAATGTACAATTACCAAACAACAAGGGGTATCAATTGCAATAAACTGAATAAAAATGCACTACTACTTACTCCATCTGTTTCTTAAAACACCTCATCTTTCATTTTTTTTTCTTTTTCTCCAAAATACTTACACACTTTCTATTAAAAAACTAATTTTACCTTGACATTTCTTAATCTTACCTATAAAATCTTTCATTTTCACTAATAACATATTTATCACATCAAAAAGAAAATTAAAAAGTCAACAAAAAATTAAATTATTACAGTATTGATCCGCAAAAAGGGGGAAATCAAGGATACGTATTACTTAGAGTAAATTACCTTTGAATAATGGAGTAAAAGTTAAGGCATTGAAATTTGAAAACAACAAAGAATAGACGGAGTAGAAAATAAACGAGGGATTTAAAATAAAAAAGAATTAATTCCATATGCATTTGAATATTTGGTAACAAAAAGTATCTGGAAAAGAAAGAGGGGGGTGGCTCTTCGTCCCTAGGGGCGAGCATCGGTCCGAATAGATTTCTATTAGAAATTGAAATAGTCAATCTTTCATTTTGTAGATTAAAACATACCGAAATCGAACTGCCTTTAGGGCAAAATTGATCTAACCGAAACCGATATAACATTATAACGTATGAATGTAGTGGGTTTTTAATATGGATAAAGCTACTTGAACCCCAACCTTTTGTACCTCACTTTGTACCCCGCAGTTTTGCATCAACATTTTGTGTTGGTGTAAAACTAATTTTTGTTAACGCACCAACACTTTGTGTCCGTGTAAATTTTTGTTAACACACCAACATTTGTGTCGGTGTAAACCATGAAAATGTTTGTATATAACTGCGGTGTACAAATGGGGTACAATTTTTGGTGTAAATGTAGCATGGTCCTTTTAATATACCCGGAGTACCATGCAAAACGGTCGGTCAGGTCGGGTTCGGGTTCGGTATTAACGGGTTCGGGTCACTCCGAGTTCGGGTCTAAGAGTGATTGTTCATGACCCAGAGTTATCGGGTTCGAGTTGACCCAACGGATTGAGAGACGTATTTAAAAACTAAAATTTTCGCTATTTAGAGATCATGTGATCCGAGCATTATTCAAAACAAAGAACGAAATCATAAAAGTTTGCAACATACAAAAAGAAAATTGCAATATACCCAAAAAACACCTTTTTGCAGCATACCAAAAAAATTGGAGTAGATGAAAAAATTGAAGATTCTTTCAACATACCCAAAAATATATATACATTATAAAAAATTGAGATTCTTGCGCCATACCAAAACAAAATAATATAATTAAAACTTGAGTTACACGTAGGAGCAACTAGAGACGATGAAATAGGATTAAAATTTTCACTATTGTTTTTGTGTCTTCTCACTATTTTAGATTAGGTTTTACGTCTTTTGAGTTTTGAGTAGCCTAATGGGTATATCATATTTTAAATGAATATATAAAACTAAATAACTAATAAAAATAAGCAATTAAGTGCATAACCCATCGGGTCAAACCCGACCCGTTCTGACCCAAAAATTAAACGGGTCTTTGGGTTCGGGTCGTAAATTCGATGTTCAAAGCCCACTATTTTCGAGTCGGGTTTTGGATTAATAATGGGTCGGGTCAAATTTTGTCAGGTCTAGTTTTTAAAAACCAAAAATAACTAATATGAGTTAGGTTTGATTACTAAAAGGCAATTTGGGGGTTGAGAGGTCACCTGCAAGTCTACAATTGCAGATTTAACACTCCAATAGGGATGATTGATTTCTAATTTTTCTTAATCTAAGGACCAAATTATTAGATGGAGATACATACCTTATTATTGGTTTAGGCTGTGTTTCGTTCGCCTATTCTAATCTGATTTGATTTGTTCCAATCTGACGAGATTTGATCAGGTCTGATCTAATTAGGTCTGGTCTAATCAAATCTTATCGGATTGTAGTTATATTTAAAGTTATTTTGTCTAGTTTGATTTTAATAACAATAAGTAAAAAGTTAAAAGAAAATAAGTTGAATCGAACTCGGCAAAGTAGTGATGTTCGAAAGTTGGCATTTCACAGATTAAAAGAAGCACCATATCAGAGTCACAAAATAGAAGAAGATACTGAAGACATTGTTTGGGAATGGGCTAATTGGGAGGTTTTCATGTTACACTAGTCCAACTATTGTAACATTGTGACACCAGTTTAATTTGTTAGAATTCATGTAGAAATCATTAATATGTTAATTGGTATTTTAACATGAATTCTAAGTATTGGTTTTGATGAATGACAAACAATGAAATTAAGATGTTGTGGTTAACAAACAATGAATAAAAGCATGTGGTGATGAAAAAGAATGTGTGCTTGAACTGACGATTGTTCCAAGGATTCAAGGCAAGCAAAGTACTCAAGAATTCAAGAGTGAAGACCCCAAGTCGTTGGTCATTAGGTATAACTTAATGTAAGAGCAACGTTTTAGTTATCTTTGCTTTTGGCTCAATTTAAGTTATTTTTCATATGCATAAAATCGTAGTTTTCATACTTGCATCTAGTTCAACCAGAACTATACCTTGTTGGAGTTGGGCCCTGATGGCCAACTGTTCATCGTTATCCTATCATGTATAGGCAGATATAATATGTTTACACATCTTATGCTAATGTAAACAAATATTATATTTCTAGATTTATATTTAAAAGATGTTTATCAAATAGTGTTATTCTGCTGATGAGACTAACATCTTGAAATAAATATTTATCTAAATGTCCATAGTCGAGTATTAATGAGAGTAGGATATCGTTAATGCATGTGAGACTAGTGTGTGTTGGATGTTTGACTTAGTCTCATAGTCAATGACAGTGTGTTCGCATCCGCACATGGGCAGATACTATCTGGAGATAATAGGATGCCGGACTGACCCATCCTAAAGATGTTGCTTGAACTTTTAGTTCATGCTCTAAGCATCTTTAGCGCGACCACGGATGTAACTATCCTTCGACTTGAAGTATTATGTTTTCTGCATATGTGAACCCGCATACTTTGATGCATTGTCCTAAGCCATATGAAATAAGGATGGTATACAAGCTTTGTTTTGGGTATGCCGCAGTACGTATTCAGAAACGTAAATTACGTACATAGGATTTGTCACTACTCTTTTTAAAAGATATTAATGTCTTATGGGGCCCACCGATAAGTTATGATTGAGGAAATTGCATGGTCATGCTGAGATGTTTTTATGACGTCTGTTCCTATCAGTCAGACTTGATAAATCAGTGAATGTCTTAATGGATACAAGCTGGATTTTATTAATCCCTTGCATTAAGTTTAGACATTGAGACAAAGGGATATAGTTACACGGAGTCTGAGTCGTGGAAAAGTTTTGACGATGCAAAGGTCTTAACTTATAATCTGGGGGGAATAATGTGTTGCTAGATACCGCTTATTGCTTATAGTATTGGTGCAGAGCCAATACTGTGGCCAGCTTTATAAGTGCCTATACGGGTCACACACTTTGGACAATTTAAGGAGTAGGATTAAACAATGGGATAATAAGTAATTTGTATATTTGTAAAATAGTAAAATAAAATATTTTGGAATATAATATTATATATATGATATTCGGTTATATATATTATATATATTTGTACCGATTAATATATATATATATATATATATATATATATATATATATATATATTATATGTTGAATATTTTATTTTGGTTTGTCATTTTAATTATGAAAATAATTATTTTGACATAAACTATTTAAAGTATATTTGTATACTTGTTTAAAAATGATATGGGTATTTTTATTTGATTTAAAATTAATTTTATATTAATTTTTGGTGTCAAATAAAATACACTTTGAACATTTGAGTGGAGAAGAATTTTGAAAATCCTACTCACAATCAAACATTCGGCCATAGTGATTTAAAGGATCAAAAATCAATCTTTGACATAGTTTTATTATTTTTATCCTTTAGCTAAATGACAAAGTTTGATTAATAACTTTGTAATGTTTTGTTTTCTACTTAATTGTGACTACACGGCACTTTGAACAAAACATTTTATATAGATGTGAAGATCATCATCTTGATTTATGCAAGTGTGGTTTTCGGCCATAATTTTCTAGTGAGAGAAAATTTCTTTTGTGTTCCATTAATATCATTTTGTGTACAGAAAATATCTATAATATTTTCAAAATATTATTAGTATATTTTCTATAAGAAATATACAAGATTATTATTATCCCAAATTTGAATCTTTATATTTTATACTACTATAATCTTTACTAGCATAAAGATTGTGGTAGACTCCGGCGTTGTTCGTGTGTCAAAGTTGGAGACCGGACGCTTGAACGGTTACGTTTGCACTTTCAACGCTCTTCCTACGACTTCTTCGTTTTACCGCTTACGGAGAAAGGTATAAATTTCTTACTCACTATAAGTTTTAGTACGTGATTCTGGGCAAGATAATCATGTTAGGATGTTAAAATTTTTATATTCCGCTGCCTATCCTTGCATGATTACCTTTCATAACTTTCAGTTCTCGACGTTGGCTTTCTGCGTTTGGCATTCAGTTATCGGCGTTGGTTTTCTGGGCAAGTAGTTTTCATGTTTTTATCTTTGGTTTTCACTCCTATGCATATTTACATGATTTCCAAAGCTTTAGGTTGCAAAAACCACTCTTGGTTTATATTCTTTGGTTTTATTAGGAAGTATAATTAAATTAGGATACTTCTTTCCTTTCCTACTAGGATTATTCTTACCTTTCCTACTTGTACTTTGATTACTCTTGTATTCCCTATATATAGGGCCATATCTCTCAATATTCAATAAGATAAGTTATTATCAAATTGTATCATGGTATCGGAGCTAAGGCTCTCAAAAACCTAGCCTCTCTTTTTTTCCGACCGCCGCCCACCATGGCAGCCCCGTCGGATCCTTTGGCGTCCTTACCCTCCGGAGTAAAACTTTTGCTTCGAAGTCTCCACAACTTAATCCGAGAAAAACTCACCGAAACAAATTATCCGGCATAGTCTCTCAATGTCCAGACAGCTCTTTCAGCTAATCTCCTCCTTGGATGGATTGATGGTCATGAAGCAGCCCCGGCGCCAACTATCTCCAAAAACGATAAAACCGTCCCTAATCCAGAGCATACCTCCTGGACCATCGTTGACACACAGATCCGCGCCTGCCTCCTAGCGGTCATCAGCCCCTCCGTTCACAAACATGCTCGCGGCTTCACCACATCTGCTGCCCTCTGTGATGCTTTGGCCGCACGGTACAACTCCGTGTTCACCGCTCATGTTTATCAGCTTCGGGACAAACTCCACACTCTTCGTAAAGGTACCAAAACTATGACACAATACCTTGATGATGTGGCAACTATTCTTTCGGATCTCGATGCCTTGAAAGAAGAGATCCCTGAACGTGATGTGGTGAATGCTGTTATTCGTGGTCTTCCCACCGAATACTCATCCTTTAAGCAAAACATTTGCATGAACAATACCAATATTTCGTTAAATCAGCTTTCTAGATGGCTGATCTCCGAAGAAATAAACCTGGAGATGGAGAATAAACTCAGCCTCACCGAGTCTACCATCACCGAACCTCGCACAACACTTCTCGCTACGAACGGTCGAGGTCACGGTAGAGGAGGCTACCGCGATTGACCATCACCTGGACGTGGATACAACAGCGGACGTGGAGAAAGGAACAGCGGTCGACCGTCCCAGTGAAACGGTCGACCGTCACGGGATCTGCCAACCTGCCGAATCTGCGAGAAACGAGGTCACTCTGCGTCTGCGTGCTGGTATCGATTTGATGATTCTTATACTGCGAACTCCTCCTCTAGTGCTCCCCGTGCAATGCATGCATCTACGAGTAATCATTCTGGAAACTGGTATCTGGACACTGGTGCCAACACCCATGTCACGTCTGATTATTCTCAGCTACAATCTCCTCATCAATACACCGGTACTGATGCTATTACCGTAGGCAATGGTCAATCCCTACCCATCACACACTCTGNAACTCCCAACCGTTGCGTATCAAGCTATCCAAGAGTCCACTTGGCATCGTAGACTCGGTCATCCAGCTCCTGCGATTGCCAAATCTATTTTGTCTTCCTTAGGTTTTCAGTTTTCAGAGCCTTTACATTGTGAATCATGTTATGTCTCTAAGTCCTGTCGTTTACCTTTTGAATTGTCTAAACATAAGGCCACAGCGCCCTTTCAATTAATACATTCTGATGTTTGGGGTCCCACCTCTGTTCCTTCCTGTAGCGGCTTTCGATTTTATATCTCTTTTGTTGATGATTTCAGCAAATTTCCTGGATTTATCCCCTAAAACATAAATCTGAAGCTTACTCTGTTTTTGTGAATTTTGAAAAAATGATTAAAACTAAGTTTAATTCTCACATCAAAATTTCTCGAAGTGATAATGGCAAAGAATTTGTAAATAACGCTTTTGGCCTTTTCCTTCAAACTTTAGGAGTCCTTCATCACACCTCTTGTCCCTACACTCCTGAGCAAAATGGGGTCGCTGAACGGAAACACCGTCATATCATTGAAACATTTGTTTCTCTTCTATACGACTCTACTCTCCCGACTACCTTTTGGGCCGAAGCTCTTGCCACAGCAAACTATCTTATCAACCGTATGCCCACCAAAACTCTCTCCAACAAATCTCCCTTTGAAACTCTTTATAACCGTCCTCCTACATATACCCACCTTCGTGCCTTTGGTTGCTTGGTCTATCCATGGCTCCGCCCTTACACTCACCACAAACTTCAACCACACTCCACTCCTTGTGTCTTCTTAGGATATCACCCCACCACTAAAGGGTATAAATGCTATGAACCCGTGTCTCAAAAAGTTTATGTCTCTCGTCATGTTCGGTTCGTCGAGGATCAGTTTCCATATCCCAAATTGTCATCCCTCCCGTCATCCTCTCCTATAACCCCTATTTTTCCTCCAAGCCCAGGCTCACATGCTCCTGTCCCACTGACGGTCCAACCCCAGACCCGTCCCACCAGTCACGGACGACAGCCCGACACCCTCCCTATGGACACGCCACAAACGGTCCAACCCCAGAACCATACCCCAACCCACCCTCGACCGTCACCTACTCCTCTCCAAAACACACAATCGGTTAACCGACCCCCGCCCCAAAACACACACACCATGCAAACCCGAGCCAAATCTGGAATTTTCAAATCTAAAGCCTATACCATTACCACCCTTGATACTACCCCACCTACCACTGAGCCTAGCACTTACCGCCAAGCCTCTGGTAATAGTTTTTGGTGTCAGGCTATGGATGAGGAGTTTATTGCTTTGAATGAGCAACGTACATGGGACTTGGTTCCACCACCCAAGAACCGCACTCCGATTGGTTGCAAATGGGTGTATCGCATTAAACGGAATGCTGATGGATCTGTTTCAAGGTACAAGGCTCGTCTTGTCGCAAAAGGTTATCATCAGGAGTATGACATTGATTACAAGGAGACATTCAGTCCTGTGGTCAAGCAACAAACAGTGCGCCTGGTCCTCTCTTTAGCACTCAACCGTGATTGGCCTCTTCATCAACTAGATGTTAGCAATGCCTTTCTTCACGGTACAGTGGACAAGGAAATTTATATGGAGCAGCCCCCGGGGTACATAAATCCCACTCATCCTCACTATGTTTGCAAGCTCCGCAAATCACTATATGGTCTCAAACAGGCACCCCGTGCATGGTACACACGCCTCTCCTCTTTTTTGCAGGGCCTTGGATTCAAGTGCTGCATTCATGATACCAGCTTGTTCACCAGACACTGCTCTCGTGGGACTATTGTTGTCCTTGTCTATGTTGATGATATTGTTCTCACTGGCAGCTCTTCTACTCTCATCTCAGAAGTTACTCAGGCCATGCACCGTGACTTCAAGCTCAAAGAACTTGGACCTCTTCATTACTTCCTTGGCATTGAGGTTCAGCGCACGCAAGATTCTATACTTCTCCATCAATCCAAATATGCCCGTGATCTTCTACGCCGAGCTGGGATGTCCGACTGTCATCCGGCTA